AATAAAACTAAGTTTATTAAAATCGTACGAGGGGTTATCAAATAGCAGCATGATTACTTCATCCCTCGATGGCTAAACACCCGTTAATAATAATGATGGTAATAATTATACTATAGTTATCTGATAATGGTCATAAATAACAATGGATTTTGTATAAAACAATTCTGGTTAATGTGGCCATTAATTTGATTACGTTAACTAAATTTCTATGTTAACAATTTTACATATTTAAATTAATTTAATGATTTATAATATAAATTTTATTTTAGACATTTATGCAAGAAATGTTAATTGTTATCATATCTACAATAATATTACATGTAATAATTACTTGACATAAGTGTTTTTTCTGACATAAATTCTGGTAATAATTTAATTATTAGTTTACATCACCAGATAATATGAAAACATTGATCACACTTTTAATATCTTAACTAATATTAATAATAACTATAATAGGGATTATTAAACCCTCAAACAATATGTGCTCAAACAACTATTAATCTTTGTTATGAAATCCGATAATTAGGATATTCTGATAATTCCTGGTCTATAAATGTTATTTCTATCGAGACATCGATTTATTAAATATAGCAATCAATTAGGATTTGTTTTGTCTCTAACAACACAATGGAGTCATAAATTAATTAATGTAAAAAAGCTGTTGTAAATTGATTTCATTGACACCATATTTACTGGTAGTATGTCTTCAGTTGGCATTCAATTGGTATTTGCGTTAATATTTGGTATTTTATTGAAAGGAAATGAATGACGAGTTTTATTATATTTGGTTTTGAAATGAATTGTATTAAACAATGAAATCGTTGATTTCAAATCAATCTCTTCGCACAATATCTGAGAAATATTTATACAATAATCAATGATTAATCATTGAAAAATTTTAATTACAATTTTTAAATTAATTATAAATTGAATATTTTGTTAACAAAAAATAGCTATTCATTGAGAATACGGATAACTATTGTTTGAAAAATATTTTAAATTAATATAAATTGATAATACTTTTACGTCAATTGTGATGAGTATTATTGAAAATCCTATTTTAAAAATATAATAAAAATTAACTTCTGGTTTGCCTTGAATTACATTTAAATGAAATATAAAATATAGTGAATATTATTCAATTTAAAATATGGTTTTTATTATATTTTTATAAAAAAATGGCTAAATATTTGTATTAAAATTACATAATATTTCATTATTTTGTTTGTGAATAGAAAATAATGAGAAACTGATGGTAAAGTGATGGATCACAGCCACCACAATGCACATCACGCCCATATGGCCGTCGAGACCACAACCGTTGGCTACGATGTCGGCCACGAAGGCCACAACGTGTTGGCTCCAGAGAGCGACCACAGCGGCCACGATATGATGTCTCACGATATGATGAAAATGTATTTCCACACAAATATTGGCACCGATTATGTGCTGTTCAAAGGCTGGAAACCGGCCAATGCTGGAGGTATTGAATTGTATTTAAACATGTTTAACAAATTAGTTTTAATAATGAAAATGTATTGATTGTATGGTATGGGCAGATATGGTGTGGACGTGTGCTCTCATATTCCTATTGGCGGTCATATACGAGGGTCTGAAGTATTATCGCGAGTATCTGTTGAAGTCGTGGCGAATCACAACGTATTA